CTGCCATATTGCGAATCTCTTCGTTTCGCTTTCGGTCGGCCATGGTAACGCCGCACATTTTACGAAGAGATCGCATCTCCACTGCATTCAACTTGCTTTTATGCTTCTTCTGGCATACCCAGGTTTCGCTGCCATATAACAAATATTATATTTATACGATAATAACGTCACTCAATTGTTTTGCCTTCCCAGAACCCCTCCACTAACACTTAAACTTTATTGGTATGATGTTAAAGTTCAAATTGCCTTTTAAGTATTGTTACGAATCTTTTGTTTGGGAATATAGAAAAGTGATGTTTTTATACTTTTTCAGGAAATTTTTTAAACTTTTCTCTCCGTAAGAACCATATTAGTACTTCAGGAAATATTATAAAAAGAGAATTAGCGAAATCGGTCCAGCTGCTCTCGAGATTTGCGCTTAGCAAAACATTCAGCGATTCATTTTTATATTATAGATTACCGCAAACGCGATTAAAACAATAACAAAGTTATTTTAGCGACTTTCCGGTAATTTGCGCAAAGTAATTGTGACTTTTAGGTAAAAATGGTCACTTGGGTGTTACGTAACGTTTAGAGAGGGGGAGGGGGGGTCTATATAAAAGTTACGGCGCGTTACATAGGGGGGTGGGAGGGTCAAAAACCTTCAAAAATTGCGTTACGTAATACTTGAACGGTCCCATACATGCTTTCTTAGTAGCTTTTATATATATTTTATAATTTTTTATAACATGTCTTAAGATTTTATATATTTTTTTAATTAAAAAAAACGTTACCCCCACACTAGGATTTTCTCCTGTATCGTGCAGGCAGTTTACAAACACAAATTGCACAAGGACAAACATCCAGACCCGGAACAATCATTTGTAGGCCATACAAATACTTGTTCCGTGCGGTATTCGAACCCGCGCCGCAATTCATTGCTAAGCCACTGCGCCACGGAGCAATCATATATATTTAGAGAAGTTGGTTTGACAGAGGATGGAGACCAAGGTGATGGTAATGATGTCACCTTCCTTATGGTGGACTCAGAAGGTTGGTAAAGGATTTCAGTGATGCTACTACGTAGAACCACCGTGTTTGGACTCATTTTCAAATAGGTAAATGGAGACCTAGGTGACTGTGATGATATCACCTTTATGTTGGTGCAATCCGAAGGTGGGTATAGGATCTCAGAGACGACACTAGATAGAAAGACCGTGTTTAAACTCATTTGAATGGGCTCATAAAAACCTAGGTGACTGTTATGACCTCACCTTTTTGATGGTGCAATCCGAAGGTGGGTATAGGATTTCAGTGGCAGCACTAGATAGAACGGTCGTGTTTGAACTCATTTGAAAGGGTTCATAAAGACTTAGGTCACTGTTATGACCTCACATTTCTGATGGTGTAATCCTAAGGTGGATATAGAATCTCAGTGGCGGCACTAGATAGAACGACCGTGTTTGAGATCATTTGAAAGGGCTCATAAAAACCTAGGTGACTGCTGTGACCTCACCTTTCTGATGGTGCAATCCGAAGGTGGATATAGGATCTCAGTGGCGGCACTAGATAGAACGGTCGTGTTTGAACTCATTTAAAAGGGCTCATAAAGACTTAGGTGACTGTTATGCTCTCACCATTGTGATGGTGCAATTCGAAGGTGGATATAGGACCTCAGTGGCGGAACTAGATAGAACGGTCTTGTTTGAACTCATTTGAAAGGGCTCATAAAGACTTAGATGACTGTTATGACCTCACCTTTCCGATGGTGTAATCCGAAGGTGGGTATAGGATCTCAGTGGCGGTACTAGATAGAACGGTCGTGTTTGAACTCATTTGAAAGGGCTCATAAAGACTTAGGTTACTGTTATGATCTCACCTTTCTGATGGTGCAATCCGAAGGTGGGTATAGGATCTCAGTGGCGGCACTATGTAGAACGATCGTGTTTGAACTCATTTGAAAGGGTTTATAAAGACCTAGTTTAATGTGATTATATTACCTTCATGATGGTGAACAAAGAAGGTGGGGTAAAAGATCTCAGTTATGCCACTACGAAACACCATCGTGTTTGGGCTCATTTGGAAGGGCTCAAGAAGTAACAACAGAAATAATATAAATATAATAAATAGTACAAACAGTTACCAAACTTATTATGTAGGATTGAAATAAAAAGGTATATTTAGTATGTATCACATACGAGTACTCATGTATATTTGATTTTAATCTTAGTCATAGTAAGTATTACTTTTATTTAACAACAAAACTAGCTATGTAGCAGTCTTCACGAAACAATATTAGTCTAGCTTTAAGATATAGGTACATAAACTATTAATATTTTAACTGTAACAGAGTCAAAATATTCTTAAATAAATTCAATTTTTTTTTTTAAATTCAAATATTTATAGTAAGTTAAGTTTTACAATTGACGTTAATTTAAAATATGGTGTATCTTACAACTGAACCACCCCTTTCGGGTATTACAATAATAGATCTGTGACATGCATAACTATATTGATCATAAACCCTTCAAAATTATAAAAGAAATTAAATTACATATGTAACTTAGCTATTATAAAATTCTAAATAACAAATTGTTTTGGTTGTAGCTAAATATTCTTTAAAATACATAGCGCGCACACAACGAACAAATCGCGCTTTTACTCTTTTGCTGGCTCACTTGATCCGTTCATGTACAGCAGCCCAAACTCACACTGTATCTGTACTGTAGTGCTTAGGGATGATCGATGTTGTAGAAACATCGATGATGACATCGATGTTGGCCATCATCGATGTTTTTTTTTCACATGTATTTAATAAGTTAGAATTAGATGAATAAAGAAATAAAAGAAATTAACAAACAATGTAGTATAAAACAGTTATTAAAAAAATTGGAAGAAATTCACAAATATCTAATTCATTTGTTATATTTTCCAATATTTTTGCCGATTGATTGAAGAAATAGTAATTTTGACAAAGGAGTACCTTTCAATCTGTTACTTTGTTGATAAAGAGTTGAGCCAGATATTGAAAATAATTTAAAAATAAAATTTTGTACAACTGACTTAAGCATAACTCAAAAACTATTGGTCAGACATATGGGTTTAATTTATATGGGACCACATGTGAAGCACCAAATTTTAAATAAAAAAGAATAATCGAAATCAGTTCACCCAGAAAAAAGTTATGAGGTAACACACATTAAAAAAAAAGAACATGCAGTGGAGTTGAGTACCTCCTCCTTTTTGAAGTCGGTAGATAACGCGCTGATGTAGCAATTGTGGTCAAATATCTCACCGCAAGTTTTCTTTTTAATTTTAGATAGGTAGAACCGACGACAAACGGAAATCAGTGACAACTGCGACATTACAGTGGATACTTGACAGTTAAATTTGATACCCCATAATGATATATTTTTAGGTTATCGATGCGTTTAAGCATTCTGAATTATTCAAAATTTTAAATATTTTAGAGGAAATGCAAGATCTAGTTGATACTGAGGCTTAGCTTTCCATTGACGTCAGTGGAGTTTGGTGTTGATACGTATTTTTACAGAAAGATTACACTATTATAAGCACACACACAAAGTCTCAATATACGGAAACGCGTAATTTTTGAGAAAAGAATAATTGAAAATCAATTATTCTTGCAATGTTTATGTCTAATCTGCTAATAAACTGGCGCCATTTTGTAATGTCATTGTCGACGTCAATAGGGATGTCGATTCTTTCCGAAAAAGGTCGATTTTTAAATCGATTCAAATCGTAAGCTGATGTATCGGTTCACAAAAAATCGATTTCTAAAATATCTATATTTTTTTAATGTTTCTATTTATAATGTAAATATAAATCCATTTTATGAAAAACAAGAAAGATACCATGATAAATGATCTCTTATTGAAATTTGTTTTATTTAACAGTACCTATTAGGGCAGATAACAAATAAAATAGGTTAGGTTCAACTTATGTCAAAGAACCGAATTGATTGACCCCGACTCCACCTGTTACGAGTCTGTCCTACCCCTAGAGTGGTTTTATAGAGCCGGAGGCGCGTAACAAATCGTAGGCATTGGACGAGCCGAAGCAGCTGAGGCTGGTCGCCGAAGGCGACCAACAAGCCGAAGCTGCGGAGGCGAGGAGGGATGCCTGCGATTTGTTACGCTAAGGCGTAGAGGTTGCTCTTCCCGCAGCGCCGGAGACGTAGCAGTCTCAAAATAGATACAGAAATCCTTATGAATCAGTCCCCTTATTTTTTTATGATGAAGGGGATTTTTTCTCATAAAATGGATTTATATTTACATTATAAATGCAAACATGAAAAAAAATCAACATTTTAGAAATCGATTTTTTGGAAATCGATACATCAGCTTACAATTCGAATCTATTTAAAAAATCAATCTTTTTCGGAAAGAATCGACATCCCTATTGACGTCGACAATGACATTACAAAATGGCGCCAGTTTATTTGCAGATTAGACATAAACATTGCAAGAATAATTGATTTTCAATTATTCTTTTCTCAAAAATTACGCGTTTCCGTATATTGAGACTTTGTGTGTGTGCTTATAATAGTGTAATCTTTCTGTAAAAATACGTATCAACACCAAACTCCACTGACGTCAATGGAAAGTCGTACCGATACTGATTTCGCGGATTCGCAAGTACCCAATAATCGATTATGGGTTTATTGACATCGATGTTTGACATGTGGCAACATCGATGTTTTCATTCTTGACATCGATGATCATCGAACATCCCTAGTAGTGCTATAGTGTATCTCTGACTAGTATACAGTTATCTGTGCTAGTGTATCTGAGTGTATATAATGTACTCTGTGTCTGAGTGTATCTCTCGACTAGACTAAAGAAATAGACCCAACAAATGTAAATATTAAATTCAAAGAATCTAATAACTATAAATATAATACAACTGTAACAAATATAAATGTGGATTGTTTCTAATCCCAATATTAATAATAGGACCTCAAAATTTGAATACACAAAGACCAAAGTATCAAAGTAAACATGGTATTTTATTTTACAAGTAACGTAGTTTCGCCACCGGTAACATTGTTCATGGGTGCGGATAAACATGAAAGTAAGTGCTACTGATTTTTATAACGTTTTCCCATATAAAAATGTTTTTATAATTGTAAGGGGTTATGTCTACTTTTTCTGTGAATGTCAACCTCAATTGCATGCTGGTCTATATCTGGGGCTCTGATGATCGAGTGACGAAATAGCCAGCCATTCCACACGCACACTCACAGAGATATATAAATAGTTATTATATACACCTTACTAATTCACTATGCAGGCTGAGTATGGTAAAATCTTCCAAGTAATGTAACCAGAAAGTAAATTCTTTGTAGTCTATTTTGCATTTCTTCTTTTTTCTTAATAACTGGCTTTACGGCTCTGGGATCTAGCCCTTCTGAGCCTAAGGTTACAATATATTACAATAATTATCCTTCATAGTATACTGCTTCACAATATCTTGATGTGTCACATTGTGTAGCCCTTGGGAGATTTTAACGGCAATTTGAGCCAGCAGGCAGCTGACGGTTGGCGATGGTATCTCAAGGCGCTTAAGCAGACAGACACCTTATTTTTAGAATCACATCACCATCAGAGCATTTGTTTCACAGTTTTCACTAATAGTTCACATGCGCAGACACTTAATACACAAAATTGCATCACTTTTACATATCAAAGTCCACTTCAAACCATTATTTAAACAATAATACAGGAGCAGCAAACCGCCGCCGGTCAAGTTTCCGCCCAGTCAGTCTATTTTGCAGTTGTCAATAAAATATTGAATATATTATTTTTCTGATTGCCTAATAACTGATATTTCAGTACAACTATAGACATCCGGTACTTGCATATGGGGTAGGTTCAGGGGAAGTCCCCTACTCTTCCCCTCTTGTGGAAAAGTATAGTTTATGAGTAATTATTATTTTTGTAATATCATAACCTCACTTTTACACATGAAAATTGACCTAAAGTTACTTCTGCAATTGCTTCGACGCTGCAGTAAGTGCAGTTCCTTTGCCCTTGTGTAGCAAATCGCAGGCAACTCATGCTCACCTCCACAGCTTTGTTTATATGGTTCAAGCTTAACTCCAACATAAACTGAAAATATAATTAAAATCAAGTTCTGGACTTCTACTTCATAATACTAGACCTAATTCAAATATTTGTGTTTCGTTATAAGAAATTTTTAGTCAAATTTATTTTTACCTTAATTAATTTAAAACACATTTCCAACATTCAAAAACAGTGTAAAAGGTTCAAGCTTAACCCTGAAAAGCCTTCTAAACTGAAAACATAATTAAAATCAAGTACCGGGCGTCTACTCTATAATATTAGACCAAATTGACATATTTGCATTTTGTTATTAATTTAAAACGCATTTCCGATATCCAAAAACAGTGTAAAAGATTCCAGCTTAACCCTGACAAGCCTCTTAAAACTGAAAACGTAATTAGAATCAAGTACTGGATGACTACAGCCAACCCGATATTTCTACTTTTTTACTGTTAATGTTTTACTGACATTGATGTAACCTTGCTTATGATATGTATGTAAATTAAATATTAAAAAAAATTGCTTTAGATGAAGATTTGATTAAATGGGGATGGCCAGAAGATGTTTGGTTCCATGTGGATAAAGTATCATCTGCTCATGTTTACCTTCGCTTAGCACCTGTAAGTAAATCTTTGAAATATAAAAATAGACAAACCTTTAAATATTGTATTTAGTAAATTTAGAGGCATATATTGAGACATGTAGGTTTCCTCAAATAGAGGCAAAAAATAATTTCATTCCTAACTAACAGCTGAATTGCACCTAATGTTTGTAAGTCCATATACGCAAAGTGTGTGCATTGCATCAACATTTATATAAAATTGTACAAAAGACAATTCCACGTGCAATTATTTAATGCACTCAGACTTTTTAAGACTACATTTTGGGCAATGATTAGTGAATTGAGATTAATCGTATTATGTGTATTCATTTATATACATAATACATTTATTATTCATTTATTTGACTACTGTATGTTTCAGGGACAAACCATAGATGATATACCAAATTTAGTTTTGGATGATGCATGTCAATTGGTTAAGGCTAATTCTATATTAGGCAATAAAATGAATGACATAGATATTGTATATACTATGTGGTCAAACCTGAAAAAAACTCCTAGCATGGAGGTACATACTGTTTTAATTAACTAACAATTTAATTATGAATTTATATTATAATTGATTAATACTGATTAGTTTAATATTTGTGTTTTCAGGCTGGGCAAGTGGCATTTCATAAAGATAAGGATGTAAGAAAAGTTAGAGTTGCTAAAAGATGTAATGAAATTGTAAATAGACTGCAAAAGACTAAAAAAGAAGCATTTCCTGATCTAAGACAAGAAAGAGAAAATAGAGATAGATTAGAAAGAGAGGATAAAAAGAAATTACTTAGAGAGAAAAAAGAAAAGGAAAAAGAAGAAGAAAAACGTAAAAAGGAAGAGGCAGAACTAAGAAGTTATGCTACTTTGATGAAAGCAGAAAATATGACAACTAACTATGATGGCAATGATTCTGATGAATTTATGTAAAGTGATAATAGATTACTTAAACTATACTTTGTAGTTTTATTACACCATCATAAATTAAAAAGAACAATAATTTTCACATAGGTTTATTCCAACAGATTTTAAAGAATTTATAATCCAAGTAGGGTAATTATAATTGGGAAAAACTTCACTCATAAAATTCTTTACAAATTGGACAAATGTACCATTGATGATATTTTCCCGCATTGTTCTCATGAGATGCATCTGTAACAAAATCTGTTTGTGAAAAATGAATTTACTTAATAAACCATTAAATTCCCTTCAGATTTATAATGACCACTTTCCAAAATTACTTCATTAAAAAATATATTAAATAATTTTCTCAAAAGAAGCTATATCTACAATTTATAACATTGTTAGGTATGAAAACCACTTATTGTCAATCGAAATAAGTTTAGTGTAACAAAAAAAACGGTTAGAAAAATGGAAAAGAAAGGAGACTGCCCATTTTCCATGGACATTTGCCCCACAGCAAAAGTGCAGGAGACTCGACCAAAATTGGATCATTGTATAGGATTTTTAATATCTATTAAGGAACCGTTAATGTTTTTATTCTGCATAGCAGGGTTTAAAATATAACAACTAAAACGTTGAAAAAAAAATACCACCCCAAGTAGGTAATCAAGAACGTGATTATTTACTTACTACTAAAAGAAGGTAGTAAATTCATTACTTGGCGACTTACTGTGCTCATTTTGAGATGAATTTAAGTGTTTGCAAAAGGGGAACCAGAGTTTCTATGAAACTGGAAAAATCAAACCAAGTCTCATTTTAACAAGTCGTAAGTACCTATTTCAATCATTTAGTGATATTTCCTTTATTTTTCTAATCTTTCTTGGAATGATGGTTATTAAATTATTAATACAAAAATAAAAAATGCAATGTTGTTTACCAATATTGTTTATTACACATCAATAATTAAATTATCTAAAAACGGCGCGGGCGGATGAATTGTTTAAATAACCGTGACCCGTCGTTCCGGTTACCAAAAATCATCACGACTTTGTCACGTTGATAAATGTTTGGAACATTAGAACGACTTAAAATGTGACTTTATATATGCATTTTAGATTTAGTATTAGGTTTTATTTCAATATTAGATTTTTTATTACCTTCCTTACTTAAGCTACGTGGCTATGTTATGAGTTGTATGTTATTAATTATTTATACCGTTTTAATCAGTTTTTCTTTTTCTATCGAACTGCGAACTGCAAAGTAGCGAGTCGAGTTCCCACTAACCCTGTATAATATGGTTTTTAACGGGAGAGTAAATTAATTAGATTTTTGTGTTTGATTAATAAACATCGTTTCATAAATTCGTACCTATGTTTTATTGAGCTAAAACATAACTTATAATTATCACTTACCTAATATTTGCAAATACTTACACAATCAAATTAATAACTTAAGTACAATAACGCATAGGCGTCAATTTTACGCTTGGCATAATAGGCATTGAGCGATACGCGCGCTCTATACCTTGCTTATTTGTACTCTAAGTTCTGAATACTCTTTATCTATTGTTCTAAGGGGTCCCTTCTAATTATTATATACTCTTTGGAGGGGTTTATAACTTTGACAAGTAATGATCCAATGACACAAGCACATTCACTTTACGTAAACTTCAACAGAAGAAAAAAAAAAAGAGAAAAAACATGGCTGACTTTAAGTACAGTCATTAAAGTACTTTTTAATCCTAAGCCAATTTGCAATCCCCGCTTCGCACGTTAGTATCGAATGTACAGTTTGCATTATTTAATTATATGTTATTTTAATTAAATTACTTTTTTAGGTCTCCGGGGCTAATTAAGTACATAAACTTGAAACGACTTGGGGCAGAAATGAGCCGTCTCCTTTATCAAAGTTGTAATTAAATCCTCAAACCTAGCCATATAAATATAGATAATCATACAATTTGATTATATAGAAAATTTTGGTGATTCAAATGACCATGACTTTGTTTATAAAATAAAATGATATACAAATTTACTGTCCACTTGATATTTTTCACAAGTGAAAGGAGACCTGTGCTGTAGTTTACAGGCTGCAACTTTTTTAGCTGTCATAAATTTTGCATGGCATCTTTTTGGATCCTTATAATTTTTTTCTGTTTTAAGGTTTGCATAACAATGGTTTCCTACACCACAAAGTAAAAATGACAGTGCTATCAGCAAGGGTTGCACTCTAGCAGCACTTAGTTATTGAGCTACTACGGCTTATAAAACCACATAGATTTTGCCATTTTTTTGTTATAATAACCAGAAGTAATGACCTCGAAGTGGTTATTCACAGAAAGGAGCCCTTTGGGGGAGGTGACATTATGAATCTGAAGGAATAATTGTAAGCATACAATGTATATACACTAGTAAAGATTAAATTAGAAAATATTTAAACAAAATAAAATTTTCTACTTTTTTGCAATTCATTTTACTAGCTAAAATTATTAATTGTAATACCTGGAATGCAATATTATGAACAGATATTAAATGACAAGCCACTGTTTCAACGGATACAATACAATGTATATATGCTCTTGTATAAGTTTTACAAGTTGAACATGAACAATCCTTGTCTATTGGGGTTAGGTCAGTTTCATACTGTTTCTGTTTTAAATTCAGTTGTCCCTTTTTAACAAGAGCACATCCAAATCTCTGTAAAATTAATTAATCAATGACAAATGTTTTATTTATTATAGCCTATCAAAAGTCCACAGCTGAATATATGCCCCATGGATTGCCTCATTAATTTTGGTGGGGATATTTGCCATTGTTGCCAAGCTTTGCTACTCAAAAACGAAATAAAAAGTAACAAAAAAAGAAAGATAATTTTTTCTGCCATGACAATTAATAAATAAATAAAAGCCAGTTAATACTTATTTTGAAAATGTAAACTTATTATGTAAAATTAGAAATGTGTTCCAATTTAAAATCTTGCTCTAGTTTTTCACAAGCTTAATTGAAATATCGTGTTTCATTAAACATAATGATATATAAACTTGATGTTACATTGAAAAATGGATGTGACTTTGTGCAATGATTTTTTATGATATCATATGTCTGATAAAAATTCTTTGAAGAGAATAGGCAAATTACTTATGAAGTGATTCAGCACATATATAACAGATTGGATCTTGAAGTGTTCACAAGATTTTATACGAAAACCTTTGCGAGGAAGATGGTCTTGAAATGGGTGCCGCTAAAGATCTCCGATGCTCAGAATCAAGGCCTTTGTGGAATGGCAACATATTTACTCTCTCTGGCTCCTCCTCCCGGGAAGGACCACACTATCACAGAATACCAGTGTAATTTTTTTTATAGAAGAGGGGGCAAATGAGCATGCGGCTCTCTTGATGGTAAGTAACTACCATCGCCCATGAACAACCGTAACACCAGGGGAATCACAGATGCGTTGCCGGCCTTTTAGAAAGGTGTAAGTTCTTTTCTTGAAGGTCCCTAAGTTGTATCGGTCTAGAAAAATCGCCGGTGGTAAACAATTCCACAGAGAAGTTGTATGAGGAAGTAAACTCCTAGTAAAACGCACAGTCGTGGACATTAAATAGCAACTTAATGCTGCAGTGCTCATGTAGTGAGTGTAGAGAACTGGAGACCCTTTGTACTTGAAATGAGGGACAACATCATAGTCCTGACTAGTGACAACACATCTGCATTTTAATTTGCAATCGAAGATAGATGTAGACCACAGTAAAAACTTACCATCAGGAGGATTGTGTACTCGTTTGTCACCCTTATGGTATAAAACAATGATACATTTATAATACTTACAGCAGTGCGTGTTGGATAAACGCAATCAAACATATCAACACCAAGAGCGACACACACTACAAGATCAACAGCCACTCCAACTCCCATCAAATAACGAGGACGTCTTGTATCTAAAACTTCTGTGCCCAAACTGACCATAGGCCAAAAATCATCTTTGGCCTCACCACCACTGTAAAAAATTAAACTAATGAATTTACATATAAAAAGTGAATTTAAATATCAATAATTACAACAAAAACCTTAAACCGCCTATTGCAAAACCGTTTACATTTTTTCTCATATGTTCTTCTGCACTTTGACGTCTCAACTCACTATTTAATAAGCCTTGTACAATAGGAAATATACTTTGTTCTAAAGGTCTGCTATGTGCTTTCAAACATCTATCAAGCCAACGACTTGTCCGTTCTGTGGCTTCTTTTATACGATCATTATCTTGAAATGTTGTTTGAACCACATCATCCAGCTGCATTATGATATCTGCACCTGTACAGACAAAACCTCATAAAATAGATAGTAAAACGTACATCAGATTGATATCAGCCTTCATGTCCGCCTCCAAATAGCAGTGTGTACTCTGCTGCTCAAGTATGAAGTCTAAAAAAGCCACCATAATTACAAGCTGTGAGGCATCCTATCATAGTTTAGAGGTGACAATGCATCTTTAGTATTTGTTAGTTCATAGACTTTAGTAGCCATTTACCATCTGGTGGGCAAAAGTTAGTTTGACACTTGGCTTATAAAAAAAAACAGTTACCTATACAATTCTGAATTTCAATGGATTTTTCTGGAGTCAACATAATTTCAGATCCATCGTATGGGGATTTAAACTTAACACCTTCTTCTGTAATCTCAGCTAATTTTAAAAGAGAAACCATTTGGAAACCTCCTGAATCTGTCAGAAGTGCTCTATTCCAAGCCATAAACTTGTGTAAGCCTCCGACTTTTTTTAGGACGTCTGTGCCAGGCCGATTTCCCAAATGATATGTATTGCCAAGAATGATTTCACAATCCAGATCCTCAAGTTGTTCCGGTAGTAACCCTTTCATTGTACCCTAAAATGTTTGCATACTTTGAAATATAGAAAAATAATTTAAGTTGAATCTAAATTCAGCAATGTTAAAAATAAACACATAAAACATAACAAACCTGTGTGCCGACTGGCATAAATACTGGTGTTTTAACATCATAGTGCGGCAATGT